TTATTATAACTGGAGTATCACGCTATACAGAGCCAAATATCGGAAGAGATTCTGAGAGGAATGATAGGCTATCCATAAATCGGTCCTGCTTCGATGAGAGCGCCCTTTATCAATACCCCCCCCCCCCCAATTCAATTCGAAAAAGCTCACCTTGTTCACTTCACTATTCTTCGTAATCTCAGCCAGATGGAAGATCAAATACCGTAGGGTGGCGTAGTGATGTCGCGGTAGTTTCCGTAACTGAAAGTGTTCAGCATAAATCAATCAATTCGCTCTGGTACAATCAATAAAATCAATAACTTACCAAATTTCTCAATTTGTGCAGGCGATTGTGATGATTGGCTATCCGATTCGCGTCAATGAAAAACGGGTAGAGTTTGTCGGTGAGGAGAGGTTCCGGTAACTTTCGTAGAAACATCTTCAGGAAACTTGACACCACATTCACGTCACGCCATCGCGGATCGCTCAAGTCCAACTGGAAAAACTCGTTTTAAGATTTTTCGAGCAAGAAACCTTTTCGATTTCGACCATGACTACTCCAAAATATTAAGAAAAGGATCTAAACTAGTCTGAATCAATCCTTGATATAAATCTTCTCTCACTCTTTCAAGTATAAACCCTAAAGTCACTACTCCTTCCGAAGAGTCTGATGGCAATCATCTGACCATGTCCCATGGAACTCCGTCGGCTAGCAAAGTCCAACAAGGAAGATGGGAGCGTATTCGGATTTTCGAAGTGGGATCGTATGTGGGGAAATGGGTATTGAAATCAAATTAGCGCCTCGGGATGGGCGAGGAAAAATTTTTACCCCTTCACTGGCTCGTTTCGGGAGCAAAGGATGTATTCACAAACCAATAGCTGCCTTTTTTCCTCACACGACTACTATTTGGATATGGAGATGAACTGCTGGGGAAATGGGTAAAAGGAGTAATGTAGCGGCATGGGGCGCCCCTCATGGTCCGACAGTCAAGCCCTGAATCGAGCACCGTCCAGAACAGCTAAGCATTCCATCCCTTGGGGTCGATTAAGTGGTGTCAATGCTGCCTGGTAGAGTAAACACAAGGACTTGCACACTGGCTTGTCCCCCTAAGTCATTGTATAGACCAAATCACACTCAAGTGCCACTACGACAATGAATGGAAGTAGAACGCGTGGCGCATAGTAAAAAGGGATTGATAAGCATCAAATGCTTCATCTTTCGCCCCCTCGTGAAGGCTAGGTTGCATCGTGTAGGCTAGAACTAATCAGAGCATGATCAAAGCGGGGAGGGGGGCAATTGGTAGACACCACGCCAGACGCGTCTTCAATACACCCGCTTTGATTCCATAAGTGTGTGAGAAAGAAGCGTCAAAAACAAAGGGTTGATACGCGTTTTGCAGTGCGACGTTGTCCCGGGCTACCCGGGAATTTACTGATTCGGGGATGAACGATCCAAGACATAATGCCAAACACGTGCACTGGACAAACGCCACCAATCGCCACTATCCACTCTTCAGCGCATGGAGAAAAGAAGTGCAGAGTCAAAAATAGGTATTTATCCAGAACTCTTCAAAAAAAGCAACTAACGTTTTCTAACGTCATCGTGTCTAGACCATGACTGAAATCATCTCCTTGAGTGCATTCACCGCGGCCGTGTTACCCGGTATACGGTAGATGCCTACCGTATCCAGACCGTGCGCCTCGACGACACTTACGCAAATTTGCACACACAATGGTACGAGCTGTAATTGTTGTTAATTCGGTCACATTTCTCAGGCACACTTCAATAAAACAAATTTCACGAAAAACTATCTGTATGCTATACGAAGTTATTACGGTTTTTTGAACCATGTTACATTCAAAATAAGTAATTTCGGTAATAAATGGAGTACAAGAAGAACTAACTGAAGAATAACTAAAGAACTAATGAAGAACTTACATCATCAGGACCCGATGTTGGGCAGTCGGCTAAGCGAACGCCGAGCACGTTTTGGACCGGTGCGACTGAGGTGGTTTCCGGAAGCACTACTGGCACTGACACCACTCGGAGGACCTCCAACACCACCACTAGTGCGCCACGCCTGTACTGCTACTGGTCTGTTTGACCGCTTTCGTCTTCTTCCATTTTCGGCCGGATTTCGGTGTTGACGGCTCTGAAATAAGTGCAATGGTCAAGGCCTTCACGAGCGGCAAGTATAATTATTGGCCTACGATCATGGTGCACACCTCCGTTCTCGCCCGAACTGCTATCCTTGCTCGTTCCAGGCTGTGCGCAGTGGACATCGTTGGCCATTGTGCGCTTCGACGACACCGGTGATTGTAGTTGCGACGATTTCGCCTTATACCTGAAGGTAGAGGACAAAATGAGCTTTCAATACCGTGCAAGCAGAAAATAATCGTCTTGAAAGCTCTAGGGAGCTCCACTCACCTGTGCATAATCAGCTGATTGGTGGCCGAAGCGGTGTGTCCATTGCGTTCGGATGGCGTCGAGGAGGACGAGGCCAGCGAAGCGGCCTGAAAACCCGTCAGTGAATAAGGGCCGAATTGGTCCAATTAAGGGAGGGAAACGGGCACATTGAAGAGGGTCACACGTGAAGAAGAGGAGAGCGCTAGAAGAAGGTACGATGAAAGAATAGGATGAAGAGAATGATTGAGAATGGAAAAAAGCAAGTTCTGGCCATTTGCCAGCTCCACACCACCGTCAGAAACGAAATCGATGCATAATCGTGTTGGTTAGACGAGAGCGAGGAGGTGGTCGCATGAATGGCGGCTCGGCTGCCCGGTTGCGCATACACCCCTCTCCCCATCATTTTGCCTTTCAACCGATGCCGATCCACACCTACCAATGTCGTATTAATGCATGAGGTGCGCGACGACATGGTCTACACACCCGTCGAGGGTTAACAATAGGTCAATGGATAATGATGATGATCGACGACAGCGGCGCCGCGTGTGGATAAATAATCACCGCCCCGCGTGCACACCCACAAACACACGCCGAAGTGCATTTTGTTTTGAAAGAGTAAGTTAGTTCCCAAAGACGACAAATCGCTGAATTCTTTTGGGCAGAAAAAAAACAATAAGGAAGAAAACTTCTACCCGGAAGGGTAAGGTAAGTCAAGAGTTAGACTACATAGATGTTGGTTAAACTTTGACCCCCCTACCCTAATCATATATTCGACTGGTAACGCGCTATATACCCACAATTTCGGAAAACGAGAAGAGAGTCGAGTGCAGACCACACACCACAAGTGACGACGGCCAAGAAAAAGTAAAGAAAGCCACTTTTTTCTTGGCCGTCGTCACTTGTGGTGTGTGGTCTGCACTCGACGCTCTTCTCGTTTTCCGAAATAGAGTATACACATATATGTAACGTGAAACGGGAAAATTTTGAAATAAGCTGACATTCAAAAAATATTTGTCGGGGGTTGGTAAAAAGAAATGAGAAAACAGTGAGCAATTAAGGCATTGAATATACCCACTAATAGTGAGATAAAATGCCTTAGTTCCCTCCTTTTTCATTTCTTTTTCCAACACCATTTACATTGAATCGCACAATTCAATCATATTTACTTTTAAATGTGCTTTAGAAGAAAATGCGGTTCAAATGCTGTTGTCATAACAGCAAATTAAATCCCGTCTTTCGAACTCGACAAAAAGCACTAGATAATCCTTTACAAGGATTAAACATTCCTATGAACTAAAAATTGAGAAATTATTCATGCATTCACTTATTGAAGTACGCCGTATAGAAGTCCTGCGAAAATTTTATCACAGTAATAGATATCGATTTTCAATAACAAAATATATTAGCCATAAAAATAATGAAAAGCAAATGAAACAAATCATTTGTTGCCTGACCATACCTGGCAAACCAAGCGCGTCATGCCGTCGACCCTGATCAAACAACTCTTTGTCAACGATCTGGGGGATTCAGTCAATGATGACGCTAAGCCGAAGCGCAAAGCAAGCCTTGAGTAAGTCAGCACAGTCCATGAACAGTTGTGAAGGAACAACGACTCGCATATAGAGGAATCGGGCGCTTGAGGACCGTTAAGTGGATGGCATCGACATACGGAGCAGCATAGTCAGGACGATCGCAGCGCTGCGATTAGCGAGAAGGGCGTGACAGCAGAGTTCGTTATTTGAGGTGGTTGCTTCCCGCCCATTAAGCGATCGCTTAATGGCTACTCGCGCTAACAGCGTTCGTATTGGGCGGAGCAAACCAATCAATACGTTTGTTGTCTTCCCCGCCTAATCGCCTACTCGTCTAATCATACGTACATTTTTTCATTATACACTAATCGGCCATTCGCCTAATCGCACGTGGGATCGCCAACTCTGAACACTTCATACACACCCAGCATTCCCCCCCCCCCTAGCACTAAGCCTGGGGAACTATGTTTTATACAAATAATGGACAAGACTATAAAATGCTTGTCCAACATTCACTTTGTGGCAACTATTAGTGCGTAAAATAAACAGATAAACATGCTCTAGTCCTGGAAATCGATTCACTGAACCATCAAACACTTGGAAAACAGCTGCATGGCAGAAAAAAGGCACTTTTCCTGACGAAAATCGCTATCTAAATAGAGAAACCTACACTTCAGGCATACAGCTATATGAGAACGAGATTTCTCTGGCTTCAAAATGCTACAATGTACGAATGATCAATATATTGGTAAAACAGTTAAATAATAACGAGAATAATTAAAATAATAAATAATTAGGAATAATAAATAAATAATTTAAGAGATTAGTATTGAATGGAAAACATGAATAAACGCATAAGCGTAACCACTTTAGTATCACCAAGTCTATTAATTTTATTGTTATCAATCGAGAGAGTGTGACAAACAAAGTGTAAAATAATATCTCAATTAGAGGCACAATCGATTGACTTTACTAAAATATCCAGTATTCTAGACATTGAGGAAAGAACTCCACAGAACCATCTAGGCAAGTTTGAGTTAAGGGGTAATGTAGTTAGTTCCAAATCCCAGCCGCGTGTTTCGAGAATAGCTGACCGGAAACGTAAAATCGAGTAAGCACGCTATGCAAGATAAATGGGACACTATTGGGATATTAACAGCATTCGAAACCACACGTGAAACATTTCTTTGTTTGAAGTGGCCCAGCCTTTAGCGGGGATTCAGCGGAAAAAAAATCAAAAATTCTTGATCAGTTTCATTCTTTCGAATTCCTTCCTTTCTAGTCCAGTCTATGAGATGCCCCCCTTATCTTGCGATAGCGCCGTAAACAATGAAAGTGCATTCTGATATGTACTGATAACGATGATAATGATAACAAACTACGCCCAACAACTCAATTGTGGCTGTATCGCTCCGGATCAAAAGATCCCTCTCACAGATACTGATACTCCTACCTTGAAACGGGGAAATTTTCCAGGAATAGCGCGGAAACTTCGGAAGAGATTGAGAAAGAACAAATTAGCGCCGAACAGTTTCGCCAAAAAAAGCAGGTGAAACGAGTTTTGAATAAATTTTACGGTCCTCCAAAATGGTCCATCAACAACTTTTACTTACCACTTAACCCTTTCAACCCTTTCCAAAACATCCAACTTAATTTGTTGCGGATCAATTATGGACCAAAAATGAGCAATTTTCTAAAAAAATTTATATATCTTTCAGGCTAACTCGGCGGTCGCAAATCTCGGAAATCTCGTCAGAGATAAAACACTTCTGATTGCAGAAGTTTTCAATTGTATTCTCAGAAAGGTTTTGTGGACAAAGAAAATCATGGCCATGGCGGCGGCCATGGAACCGGATTCATTGTGAGTGGAAACACCAATTTCGTGTGTAATGTGTAAAACTGCGTGGAAAACGACCTTTGCACGAAGACAGCACGGAAAACAAAGAGGTGGCAGAGAAAATGGAGGCAAATGCATGTTTAAGCGAATTACAGCCAGCAAAACACTTTGTTTCTTTGTGCAAGGCACACCTGTTGAGAAGAACTAGAAACCTGAAGAGCCCCGGAGTAGGAACGCGGCGATTCGACATAGAGGTGTCGCATTTTTCTCTTGCACCCCTAACGAGGGACACGATGGTCATACTTGACCATTCTCTGCTCAGAATGGCCATCATCATTTCGACTGCATCACCGTGCCCACCTGCCTACGGGTACCATAAAGCTATATGCCTGTCCGACTGAAATAACAACCACTTAATCCAGAGCGTTGTGCAAAAACATGATTCGCGCCTACCTTCGGTGCCTAGCGACGATAAATAACACTATAATGGACAGTTAGAAATTACAAACCAACCCGTAGCGCTGCGCGTCTAAGCTCGGATAACTGTGAGCGAGCATTTGCTCATGATAATGTTATCAGAGACTGATCTTCTACATCATACTGGCCCCTAGCAATAATTCAAACCTGACAAGGTGTCTTGTGTTCTCCCAGATGCGCGAGCATGTGGGAGTCACAGTTTCGGCTTCGACTTCGAAGGCTGGCAACAAAATCGCCACACCGCTCAGCTCTTTCGGACAAATATCGGAAGCGAATAATTGGGACCATTCTTGAGCAACCCGAAGTACGAGTAAGTGATATTTTACTGGACCTTCTCGTCGAGTACCTAAATCTTGTTCTCACAGAATTTGAACCCTAAAACCACTCGCGAACATTAGCGCAGACATCGTATCGTTCCGCCATGGTGAGGAGGCAATGTTTGCGACTTACAGTATACTGACTAGCGATACCTAACGCCATTGTCAGAACCAATGCGGACCCGGATCGCCTTTACCCTTTAGCTCTTAATCCTGGCGTAAGCTCCCAAAAACACTGCCATGCCTTCACCCACCACAGATTTCCCAAACCAACCCTAAGGTTAACAATTTTGAAGCACTAGGTGCATACACCCTACTTCGCCTTAGGGAGGGGAGGGGCTGGGAGACCGTACACCACATACATTAAATCGGATAGTCTACCCGTTAAAACCCATTAGTTCCACCGAGTCCTCTGCGCAGCCTTTCACAAATTCTTCGCATTTTTAGGCATTTTCGGTTTTGGCCTGATCCGATCGTGTCTAACTGCTGTCCGAAAACCGCCCTACTGTGAGTCACGAAAACTAGCGCACAAGGCCATTAACCATCGGTACTCCAATACCTATAATGGCCCTTTGGAAGCCAGATTCGAGGTTCCAAATGGCCTTACTATGAACAATTACCCTCGTCGGCTACCTCTGTACACAGCTACATAGGTTAGGGGGAATTAACGAAGGAGAGCGACAAGGATAAATCCCTGAAATCGGATGTATTCGTCATAACTCAACCATCATGAAGGTGATGCCGCGCTGCTCTTCTACACCTTCCCACGCTCATTCGGGAGACCCGGAACTCCTGGTCCAACTTCGAGAAGATTGGGTCTAATTTGGCAATGATACCTAAGGACATCTGAACCCTGCGACTGCGCGGGACTAACGCTAGGGAGAGAAGAAGAAGACCTAAAGACATCCGAAGTAGTGGTTGTTAGACGCGAAAAGCACCAACGAGAAAGACCCGATTCCCTTGCAATGTAGAGCTTTCACAGCTCATCTTGCTCATGCTCAATCACAACCGGTACGCCTCCGGCCAAGCTCATCCGAGCTGGGCCGTCACGGGCCACCACAGCCCAGCCAGCCGGCCGCATGTCATCATCAACCACTTCAAGTGGCCAACAATGAAACCCACTTGAGTTCCGCTGTCGGTCACACCGCCTCATCGCCCGCAATTTTTATCGTATACCCGTCGACATTTACGAATCAAGTACCTAATTCACGTCCGATAATGTGATCGTAAACGGTCACAAGGTGAAGGCGTGGTGATTCTCTACTCCCCAAATCATTTTCGAAAAAAAAACGACGAGATTTCAGGAAAAGCT